CAATCGAGTCCGAGACGAGACATGGAGATCTACCCACACGACCTTGGCGATCGACTGGTAGATCAGGATCGACGTATTGAGCACCACTGGTCTAGTGTAACCTGATTCCTGATCTAGTCTCTGAAGAGAAATTAAATTGAGTGGAGGCACTAGGTGGTGCCAGCGTTTCTAGCAATTCAGAGCAATTTTCTGAGTATTTAAATAGAATTTCAAAGACATAAAAATTAAAAGAATGCATGCAAAAGTTTAAAGGTGCACTGTGCAACTTTCCTAGTGGAGGGTCCTCAACCTACCTCACCATGGAGACATTATTGCTTTTAGCAGAATGTTCAGTGGATTTACTTTAAACATACCAGGCCATTGTTTTTAATCACTGTAAAACACTTTGGTCACATTTTTATATGAAAACTATATAAACTATATAAACTCTTCTGCTGCTCAGAATTCCTTCTGTGAATAGAAGCGACTCTCCACAGATCTGAACTGTCAAGGTAATGCTGTAACTGCTTTTCTCTCTTGTGATAAATAGGTGTTAAATACTATGGAACATTCTAGGCAAAGCAATAACATGTCCATGGAAACAAGCAGGTGACGAACACTCCAGTAGAAATGTTACACAGTGCACCTTTAAGAATGAAGAGAGGAGTTGTATAAAGTATGTGTAAAACTAACCTAAAGTCAGTTATGCTTTAGGCCATGACAGACCTTTTCCACTCACATGAACAAGTGAAGAAACTTAACAAGATGAAGTTTGTACATTTTTCATGAAGCAGGCTCTGAGCGGGGAGCTGCGTACTCTCCCACACTTCACAGAGATGATATCTGAGGCAAATGTTCAACTAAACGACATTATTAAACACTGATTTAACAGTTGACCAATGAATGAATGAATGAATAATGGCCTTTATTTGTCTGTTTCTTTGCATGCACATACGAAGGATCGAAACTGGACCTGTCCCCCATCCGTACATTACAAACATATGTCAAATGTGAGAAGAGACCCTGTTTTTATTTTTCATTTATTTATCATTTTTTTAGGATTCTTTTTTCCATTTTATACTCATTTTTATTCTCATTTTAAATGTTGTGCTTCACTGAATAAACTTTTACTGACTGCATATCCGCCTATTTTTTTCCAGTTTGGTAGAACTAAAGAATCTGACACATACAACACAATACATGGAGAGGACTACATGGACTGGACCGGGACACAGGGAGCAGATAGGAATAAACATTAAATAGGAAAAAAAAGAGAACAGCCCCAGACCATGCTCCTCTGGTGCATAGTATGGGGGAGTGCACAAAAAGCAGCACCCCCGCACATCAGCACAGTCAAAACACAGTACAAACATTTGACAGGACTAGCAGCAGGGTGGGGGAGGGGAGTGGAGTTAACCCAACGTAGGGAGCAGTCATCTGGGCCCACAGCCATTGGACGCTGGATACAACAGACCCTCCCACCAGGCCGGGGGTGCGAAGCCGGTGTCTTATGGACTAAAACCCAAAAGTAGAACCATGTTGAGAAAACTAAGGAGATATTTTCAGTCATCTTTGTTCTCGTGGAAGAGGGAGGTTTTGTCATAGTTTGTGAATGAAGGTACAGTATAACGCAACAGCCTTACATGCAGAATTCTCCAACACTTTACCTCTGGTCTGATCACCAGTGAAGAGTTCAGATGGATGTGATTGACAGGTGGATTAGCCAATCAGAGATACATATAGTCTGTCTGTATCAAAACAAATATGGCTGCTTACAAAGAAAAAAGAAAGAAAAAAAATGATACAGGGGTCTGAAGATAATTTCTGCAGAATAAATGTGTGTAGAACTAAACCCTGTTCATCTGAGGTGGCAGAAATTGTATTCATAATGATGGGTGACCAATGAGCTCCTTTGTTTCACACTGGATGTGACTTTACACCCATCAGTGACATTTATGAGGAGCGTTGTAGAACACGGGCCTCCAGGATCATGGGGGACCCCTCGCACCGTCCCACCACCTGTTTGTTCCTCTGCCCTCTGGGAGGAGACTGAGGAGCATTAAAGCCAGAACATCTCGGATGAAGTTCAGCTTCTTTCCTGAGGCTGTCAGACTTTTGAACAGTGCACACACTAACTTCCTGCTTAGGCTGCCTCTCTATCCTGCCACGTTTTTTACTTGTACTTGTTCATTGGAACTGCTTAAATGTTGTTGTTTTGATGTATTTACGTTTTAATATTGCTTATTTACTATTGTTTTTATCTTTTTCTGGATCACTGGGCCTCGGGGAGCACATTTCGTTCTGTCATGTGTTTCTCACACATGCTTGAATGACAAATAAAGAACCTTGACCTTGACCTTGACCTTGATATTAACAAATGTGATTGGACGATCATGTTGAGTTCTTGCTTGAGACACAATGCAGGGAGAGGTGACCAGACTGATATCACTCTGTATAAATAATACAGAGAAATATCATTCAGGATTTGCCAGTATATGCAAAGGGATTTCTTATATGTAGCCTTTATGAATAAATGTAACTTTATCTAATGTGCAATTTGTGTTAGTTAAAATTCAATTCAATCTTTATTAAGAACACATGATATCTGGTTCATAGTATTAAAAAGACAATAGTAAGAATAAAAAGTTAAATACAGTGCATGTTATAATGTTTACAGACAAGAGCGCCAGTGTCTCCACAGCTCAGAGGAGAATCTGACAGAGCTCCTCACAGACACACTAGAGCTTCAATGATTTGATGACTCAGATTCACAGCTCTACATATAAATGAATAAATACAACACCTGATTATGACAGCACAGGGTCTCACAGCACAATTTACAAACATTTCAATGGTGCTACAAAACCTTGGCACTTTCAGTAATATTCTCAAAGAGTCGTTATACGCCACTGTCAAACTCTGCACTCTTTTTCTTATAGTTGCGCCAAAGATGTACAGTATACAAGGGTGAGCAAAAACATTTAAAAAGTGCAATTTTGACATCACTGGAGCACATGGAGATCTTGCGGACGAGCATATTGGCCTGGCCATAAAGCTCACACTGCTGCCTATACATGTCTCTATCATGTGAGAGGTCAGAGGTGACATCATGTCCAAGATATTTGACCTCATCTGTTGGAGTTGGAGGGCACTCCCGCACAAAGAGAAAACAGGAAAGGATAGCTTTTTGTCCTCTTTTGTTTTAACAATCATAACGTGACTTTTCAGAGTGTTGTACTTAATGTCATATTCAAAGCCAAACTGAGAACAGATATTTAAAGGCTTCTGCAGACCTGCACTGTAAGGGCACAGCAGGACTAGATCATCTGCATACATTAAATGGTTATACCGATAATCACCAGCAAAACATCCAGTTTTACATTCATTCAGCTGCACAGACAGATCATCAAGATAGATATTAAACAGAAAGTGAGACAGGATTCCACCCTGGCGAACTCCATTACTGACCCTAAAAGAGTCAGAAGTATATTCACCGCATTGCACCTGCATGGACTGACAGGTGCACCAGAAAATAAGTATTCTAATGAGGTACCCTGGAACACCTCGGTTAGTTAATTTGTTGAACAGTTTCCCATGATTAATCCAATCGAATGTTTTAGAAGCATCTAGAAAACACATGAATATAGTGGACCCCTGTGAATTATATTTATACAACATCTCCTTCAGTGCAAAGATACACGTGTCAGTGCCATGACCAAGCTTAAAGCCAAACTGATTACCCGTAGTGTACATCGATTACAGAATCGATGTAAAGTATCAAATATATTCCATCCATCCATTTTCGTCCGCTTATCCGGGGCCGGGTTGCGGGGGCAGCAGCCTAAGCAGGGACTCCCAGACTTCCTTCACCCCAGACACGTCCTCTAGCTCCGAGGCATTCCCAGGCCAGCCGAGAGACATAGTCCCTCCAGCGTGTCCTGGGTCTTCCCCGGGGCCTCCTCCCGGTGGGACATGCCCAGAAAACCTCCCGAGGGAGGCGCCCAGGAGGCATCCGGAACAGATGCCTGAGCCACCTCAACTGGCTCCTCTCGACGTGGAGGAGCAGCGGCTCTACTCCGAGCTCCTCCTGTGTGACTGAGCTCCTCACCCTATCTCTAAGGGAGCGCCCAGCCACCCTGCGGAGGAAACTCATTTCGAGCACTTGTATCAAATATATTTTAAATATATAACTGTATTATTATTAGTAGTAGTAGTGGTAGTGGTAGTAGCAGTAGTAGTAGTAGTAGTAGTAGCAGTAGTAGTAGTAGTAGTAGTGGTAGTGGTAGTAGTAGTTGTAGTAGTAGTAGTAGTAGTAGTGGTGGTAGTAATAGTAGTAGTAGTAGTGGTAGTGGTAGTACTAGTAGTAGTAGTAGTAGTGATAGTAATGGTAGTAGTAGTAGTGTAGTGGTAGTAGTAGTGGTAGTAGTAGTGGTATTAGTAGTGGTATTAGTAGTAGTAGTAGTAGTAGTAGTAGTAGTAGTAGTAGTATGGTAGTAGTAGTAGTTGTAGTAGTAGTAGTAGTAGTAGTAGTAGTAGTAGTAGTAGTAGTAGTAGTAGTAGTAGTAGTAGTAGTAGTAGTAGTAGTAGTAGTAGTAGTAGTAGTAGTAGTAGTAGTAGTAGTAGTAGTAGTAGTAGTAGTAGTAGTAGTAGTAGTAGTAGTAGTAGTAGTAGTAGTAGTAGTAGTAGTAGTAGTAGTAGCAGTAGCAGTAGTAGTAGTAGTAGTAGTAGCAGTAGTAGTAGTAGTAGTAGTAGTAGTAGTAGTAGTAGTAGTAGTAGTAGTAGCAGTAATAGTACTTTTTTCTCTTTGTATTGTAATATTTGAGCTAATGTGTTAAATTTTTTGCCCCTTGTGGATCAGTAAAGTTTGACATGTTTTGGGAATGATATTCAAGTAACAATTCAATAAAAAGTATTTACAGTTCACACAGAATTCCTGTTTGTTTTGGTGACATTACGTACGTACGTACGTACGTCAGTTCTGTCCCCGCCCGCCTGAAGCTTATATTAAGGGGGACGGAACTACTCTCTGCTGCTGTTTGTTTCGGAGGGAGGTGTTCCTTCGTCGAACATCTACTTCCGGCAAGTCCCCAGTCGCCGCAAAGCAGTGAAAGTGTTGTTTTTTTTTTTTTAATCTTTACTTCTTTTTAAAGATTTGAACCTTTACTTCTTTTGATCTAGTAGTTTTAATACTCCGAGAAGCAACCTCCGGATTTTATTTAAGACCCGATCGGACGCTTTCGCCCTGTGGATTGATTTGTTTTTTCAATGTTTTGTAGTTATTAGCCTCCTGAGCTAACCCCGGGCTAGCTCCTCAGCTGACACCGAAACCGAGCGACTATTTCGGGAACATTCACCTGCACATCCCGCCCGATTAGCTGAAGTGTTGGAAGATCGCGGCTGTGACGGAGAGGCCGCCCTTCTCCGCATTTCCCATGTCTGTTTTGGTGCTGGTGTTGATGTTTTAATGGGAGGCTGGTCGCTGCGGGGTGGACATTGCTGGAGCGGTTTGAGAAAGAGAAAGCCGCGGCTCGGATGGAGTCTCTGGCCGGGTACGTGTACAAGGCAGCCAGCGAGGGCCGAGTGCTGACCCTGGCCGCGCTCCTGCTCAACCACTCGGAGGCAGAGACCAAGTACCTGCTCGGTTACGTGACCCAGCTGTCCGGCCAGAGGTCCACGCCGCTCATCATCGCTGCGAGGAACGGACACGAGAAAGTGGTTCGGCTGCTGCTCGATCATTACCGGGTGGACACCGAGCAGACCGGAACCGTGCGCTTTGACGGGTACGTTTAGGCACAAGAGTCTAGATTGAATTTAAAGACTTCATACTGCGCAATTGTCTGATGTTGTTATAATGTCGTTTCCTCATCACAAACAGACCTTAGGTTAGGTTAGATTAGGTTAGGTTGCTTTATTCGCACCCGTAGGTAAATTTGCTTTGCAGATTTGAGAGACAGGTTCCACATTTCACATTTCATTCATCCACAAAACACACATAAAATCACAATTACAAAATAAAGTGTTACAGTGCTCCAGTGCAGAATGGTTTGTTCCATAAACAACCAATTAAAATCATCCATCACGCTTGGCTAAAATCACAATAAATCTTAAATATGTTAAAAACACACAATCTTGGATAAATAGATTACATTTTATTCATAAGTACGATAGCGGCCGGAACGAAGCTCCTTTTAAAACGATTCGTTCTAGATCTTGGGACTAAAAGCCTCAGACCAGACGGAAGCAGCTGAAACTCTGAGTTTAGTGGATGTTGCACGTCTCTTAAAATCCTCTGGGACATCCTCTGTAAGTGTCTCGAGTACAGAGAGTCCAGGCGGCTCTGAGGATGAACAATCACCTACTCGCTCATTTAACCAACTGATTCAGGGAGTTCTTGTTTTTAGCAGAAATGCTCCAAACCACAAGACCAATGAAAACATTAAAACTGATTCCATAAATGTTTTATAAAACAGTGTCATCATGGTTCTGTCTACATGGTAAAAGGACAACTTTCTCAGACAGTGAAGGTGCTGGTGCCTCTTTTACACACACCAGAACAATTATCGTCAAAACGCAATCTTGAATCAATGAGTGTTCCAAGATATTTATATGACCTGAGTTGTGTTTTGTTTGATTCACACATGTTTAACACACAAACTCTGCACGTTTAGGCTGACTTCTTCTCTCAAAGTTGTCTGTTCTTTCTATTCCACTTTGCAATGACATGTGGTAATACAGAAAGTGCTTCACTATGTTTTTAAAGTCTATACACTTTCACAAGAAATAAAGGTACTAAATAACTAAAGGTAAAAGCAGCTGCTGACTATTGCTTCATGACATCTTAAGTTGGAACAGGGCATTTTGAGCTTTGGAGATGTAGACAGACTAATGATAAAGGATTATGCAAATGTGTAAACAATATGACATGATTTAAGGGTCACAAGATCCAGTGTTGTGTAATAAAGGATCTTTAATGTGGTTTTATACACACAAGATATTTTTTTTACTTGTTTTGTAGAGCCCTTCAACATCGGTGTAAAAGTCAATAACACTAAATACTAGCCCATAAATAGTTGTATAATTAGTGCAATATAAAGAGTTTATTGCAGACCATGTGTATTGTACATTGCCACAATCATTTAATTAAACAATACTATTACCAAGTTCAATTATTAACAAAGTATCGCTGTAAACAAATGTGCAGTATCGATAAACATGACCATGTCAGCCAGTTCAAAGGGAGTGAGTTTATCCCGGCCTAGATTTGACCTGCTTAATCAGACACTCCCTCCTGTTTTGTAGTTAAAGCGTGTGGTTTGGGCTGGACAGGTGAGGATTGAGATTACTTTTAAATACTTTTAAATACTTGTACAATGCTGCAGTTTGGTCACTCCATTAATAAAACCAGGTTTGGATTCTTGTTTTACCATGAACATGAAAATTGTCATGATGTTACAAAAACTTGCTTCATTACAAGTATGTTACTTCTCCAGCCTCTTCCATGTGCATGCAAACAATTCCATATTAAAGCAAAATTGTATCTTTAATTATTGCCATTTGTAATAGTAATAGTTATTTGTAATGAGTATTTTAAAGTAGCCTTTGTGGTTTTCATGTGATTGATACTTGTGTTTTTGTGATTACATCACTCCCTTCAAAAGTTTGACTGAATCACCTTCTCTCTCGGCCCCTCCCTCTCAGTGAGGTGGTTAAACCTGCTTTCTGTTCCTATGTCACAGCTCAGCCTCAGTGGAGCTGTGACATAAGAACTCCACTGTGAATTTGAACAGTGTTGCCTTACTTTTGTCAGAATTTAGACTCTCGGCAGTGTCTCTTCTCCACTCTTTGTCCCTGTATTATCAGGTTACAGTTTTTAAATTACTTTGAGATGCCTCATCTTTTTTTAGCGGTATTTACTTAATAATAGTGCAGTAGTATAAATGGATTGTATTTGCTCTGCTACATGTAAAAAGTCACACTGTTCTGTTTTATTGGTGGGTCAGTCCCGGTGCCTCCCTGTTGACCGTGTGCTTGTTGTGTGTGCAGGTATGTGATTGATGGAGCGACGGCCCTGTGGTGTGCGGCTGGAGCAGGACATTTCGAGGTGGTGCGTCTCTTGGTCGGACATCAGGCCAACGTGAACCACACCACCATCACTAACTCCACCCCCCTCAGAGCCGCCTGCTTCGACGGACGCCTCGACATCGTGCGCTACCTGGTGGAGCACAAGGCCGACATCAACATCACAAACAAATACAACAACACGTGTCTGATGATCGCCGCGTACAAGGGCCATACAGACGTGGTGCGCTTTTTGCTGGAGAGAGGAGCTGACCCGAATGCCAAGGCTCACTGCGGAGCTACGGCGCTGCACTTTGCTGCAGAGGCCGGGCATTTGGACATCGTGAAGGAGTTGGTGAGTCGGCAGGCAGCTATAGTGGAGAACGGACATGGCATGACCCCCCTGAAGGTGGCTGCAGAGAGCTGTAAGGCTGATGTGGTGGAGCTGTTGCTGGCTCATGCGGACTGTGACCCTGAGAGCAGGATCCAGGCTCTAGAGCTGCTCGGGGCGTCTTTCGCCAACGACCGAGAAAACTACGACATCCAGAAAACCTATCACTACCTCCATACCGCCATGACCGAGCGTTACAGAGACCCAGAGCGCCTCATCCTCAAAGAGAGGCTGCCCCCTGTGGAGGCGTACGGTCGACGCAGGGAGTGTGAGACTCTGGAGGAGCTGGAGAACATCCGTGTGGACCGGGACGCGCTGCACATGGAGGGTTTGATGATCCGAGAGAGGATCCTGGGCTCAGACAACATCGACGTGTCTCACCCGATCATCTACAGAGGCGCAGTGTACGCTGACAGCATGGAGTTTGACCACTGCATCAAACTGTGGCTGCATGCTCTGCGGCTGAGGCAGAGAGGGAACAGGAACACTCACAAGGACCTGCTGAGATTTGCTCAGGTCTTCTCTCAGATGGTGCATCTCCGGGAGCCTCTGAACGCCGTGTCTGTGGAGCAGGTGATGAGCTGCTCTGTGCTGGAGATCCAGCGCAGTGTCAGCAGAGTGGATTCTGCGTCTGAGGCCGAGCTGCCTCAGGCTTTGGACAACTACGAGTCCAACATCTTCACGTTCCTGTACCTGGCCTGTATCTCCACCAAGACCAACTGCAGTGAGGAGCAGCGTGCCCGCATGAACAAACACATCTATGACCTGATTCAGCTCGACCCGCGCTCTCGAGACGGCTCCACTCTGCTGCACCTGGCCATCAGCTCCTCCACCCCTGTGGACGACTTCCACACTAACGACGTGTGCAGCTTCCCCAACGCGCAGGTCACCAAACTGCTGCTGGACTGTGGCGCTGCCGTCAACGCAGTGGACCATGAAGGCAACACACCTCTGCATGTTATTGTGCAGTACAACCGGCCAATCAGTGACTTTCTGACTCTACATGCCATCATCATAAACCTGGTGGAGGCGGGTGCGCACACGGACATGGCCAATAAACAGAAGAAGACTCCTCTGGACAAGAGCACGACGGGAGTTTCAGAGATTTTGCTCAAGACTCAGATGAAGATGAGTCTAAAGTGTCTGGCTGCACGCGCCGTCAGACAGCACCACATCACCTACCGCAACCAGATCCCCAAAACCCTCGAGGAGTTTGTGGAGTTTCACTGAAGAGTGACTTTTTCTAACAGACCAATGGTGCTGCACAGCATTCATTAAGAATTAAGCATTTTAACCTTTTTATAAAAGAGAAATGTTCTTTTTATTCCAAGTATTAATTGGTGACGCTGTTGTTTTGCCTTAGCTCTGTGTCGCTGCCATCTGACTATAGAGAATAAATGTGCCTCATCAGTCCACTGTAACCAATCAGGTTTAGTTTAATCTTATTCTAATTATTTCAGCTCTGTTTTTATGATTGTAACACTCCTGATTCAGATCCAACTTGATGCAGGTTTATTTTTTAAATCAAAGGTAAAACTTGTCAAACTTAGGGCAGCCAGAGAGTTTATAGTTAATTTATTTTTATGAGATATAATCACTTTGTTTATCAAGAACTTTGCACACTTTCACTCTAGACCATGTGATCTGAATGGGCCAATCACAAGACTTTAAACAACAATATAAACGAATAATGCTTTTGGTGCCCTAATCTGTCTGTCCATTACATGCAAATGTGAAAGGCGCCCTCATGTATGTATTAAAATACAACTATGGAAGAACCTGGTGCAAACTGCTTTTTCTTCTTTATATTTGTAGCAATAATCTGGGCGAAAACATTGGCGTCAGTTTTAGTTGGTGAATGCTGCCTTCTGAAGAACTGACTTGATGTGACTTTTATTTTGTACAAATTTGAACATTGAGAGCAGACGGACCAGAGGCCTTCATTTACAATTGAACACATGATTGAAGAGGCTCCACTTTGAGCTGTGATTGAATCAGACTGATGTCAACTCGCATGACACAAGCACTGAGGACAACACAGGCTCATCTGCTCTCAGGGAAATGTGCTTAACAAAGGAATTTAAGTTTGATCAGAGCCTTACCTGAACTTTTACACTTACAAACTCTCAGAAAAGAATTGTTTTTCAGTCTTTCAAAACTAACAGATATGTTCTTGTGATATAAAAAGCTGCAGCTCTTGGCTTTAAAGCCCCACTCTGTAACTTTTTATTTAAAAAAAAACAATATTAAAATCATCTCTTTTTATTTTGGGGGAAAAAAAACATGGGGCTTGCATTTCCACAAACCTGACCTTGGCTATAATATAATATTTCAGAGTATTGTTAAAACAAAAACAAAAAATGTGCATCTTCATTGAGGAAGTTCCAAAGTGGTTTTAACTTCAACCATTTCTTCTAGAATGTTCCGTACTGTGCTTTTAAGACTTTAACAATTTTGATCCCATACTTCATTGAAAACCTTTTCGTTCAGTAGAAAAGTCAAACCTCATCTGAAGTGAGCATGACTGTTCTGGTTTTGGTCCTTTCAGTCTCTCTTCACACTCTGAACATAAATGGATCTATTATTCTGTTGAAGTTTAAAGTGCTGCTGTGTTTTTTATGAGGACACTTTGGTTTATAGTTTATCTCTGTTTTCTCGTCAAGCTTGAATTTATGTCACAACAATCACAAACAGGCCTCGAACTCAAGTGGATTAACTTATTCAGCAAACTCAGGAAGCAAAGACCAATATATTTATGGTAATGACGGCACATACACTGTAAAGACACACTGTGGAACTTTTCTAGTGGAGGCTGTAGTACCTGCCTGTCTCCCTGAAGATTCATGCTCAGATAAACATCCATTCTTTAAGGGCTTATATTGTGCTCTTCTCCACACTCTGTTCCACCTTGTGATGTCATGTGGTAATACAGGAAGTGCTCCACTGTGTTTTTGAACTCTATAAAGCTTCACTAGAATCATTTGGATGATTTCAGCCCTGGAACTGTCTCTCTCTACTGAAATAAAGGAGGTGTTCATTTGAAAACTACCACTTCATGACATCACAAGGTAGAACAGAGTATTTTGAGCTTTGGGCATGCAGAGAGACTAATATAAAGGGTTATTCAAACATGTGTGAATGAAGGGGGAAATTGAGGGGGTAACAACATGACTTAAAGGTCACAAGAATCCATTTTGCATAATGTTGGACCTTTAACAAATAAGTCGATTCTTTGGTTCAGTCGTATTTGAATAGTAGATTTAATATTAAAGTCCATCAGTCATAATGGCATCTCACATTATTTCGAAGCACAAGAACACTGGCTCCATCCGTTTGTGTATTTACAAGAGTTCAAGTTTATACAACAAAAGTGCATCAGATACTACACAGCATGTACAATACATTAAAATACTTTACAATCCCCATCAGCTCTGGAAATAATTACAAAGGCAGCCCTTTAGGTAGTGTTCACTTCACTGTAACATACCGGCAGGACGTGAGTGACTCCTGCTGCCGTCAAAGTTTCGATCTTTATAAAGTAATAACATTCTTTTTTTTAAAGTCCATACACATGTAGCAGACCTGTACTGCCCTACTCACTGCCTTCACTGTGCAGTTTTATGCTTGCTACATTGCTTTTAATTTCATACTAACAGCTTCACTTTTCATTATACAGATGTAGTCCTAGCGCCCTCTGCTGGACCTTTTACATGGACTCATTTTGTATAGACTCATTTTCAGTCATTGTTCAGATAATGCCAAGGTTAAAGTGTTCGATATTTGAAATGTGTGAATAATACAATACAAGAAACAATTCAAAAGGTGTATGGCTATGTGTGATTGGCTGGTTTTATGAAGGGGGCGGGGCTTAGAGGGTCCCTGAGTGAGTTGCACTTCACTCTTCATAAGAACCTCTCATAGACGAGATAGTTAGTTCCCTAACAGTCCTCTGCTGCTGGACACGGACCGTAAGAGCTCATGTGTGCGTGACGTGGACGAGACGAGGGTCAAATAAATGCACTGTCCATTTACTCCATGTGGTGGCGCTGTTAAAGCTCCTCTGATGATTTCCCGTTGGACATAGGCTCCTCTTCCTCTTCCTTTCGTCTTCGTCTGTTGAAGAAGCCAAGCTGGAAAAAAGTGTAGCACGAAATTACACACATTTGATTATAATAATAAAGAATAATGTTAAACAGATACAGATGAGATCAACAGACACACGCACACCACACACACCCCATACATACACACACACACACACACGTGCACACACACCCCACACACACACACACCCCACACACACACACGCACACACACACACCCACACACACACACACACACACACACACACACACACCCCCATACACACACCACACACACACACACACACGCATATACAACACGTGTGTGATCAAATCTATGTTCTTGTATTTTACACTAAAAAAAGCAGCTGGAACAAGTTCATTTGGAAAAACAGGCTTAAAAACATTATTATTTGTATTTTTTTCTTGAGTTTTCAGACAATCCTGAAACGTTTTAGGCAATGTTTGCAAATGTGTCACTATTAGAGATACATGTAGAGCACCCCCAGTGCGATGTGCCTCTTTAGTACAGCACTTGAAACACTTCTGTCTCTTACAGTCGTCATGTTTTTCACCTCCTGTTATACGCATACACTGTATATATGAGTGGACAACATGGATGTAACCCTTGTATATATGAAACGTGAGTATATAATGTAGATGTTTATGGAGAGTATATGATAGGTACCTTCCAGAGAGCGAGCACGAGCAGAGCGAGGAGCAGCAGACCCCCCAGAGTACTGCCCACGATGATCCACACGGGGATGGAGTGCTCCTCCTCTCTCCTCAACTCCAGCACGATCTGAAAAACACACACACACACACACACAAAACACGGACACACAATAATATATAATGTGTATATAGCTTAATAATACATACATTATACATTATAGTATACACATAATGCATTATACACACATTACATATTATTTGTTTAATTACTTAATTCCATTGAGTTGTACCTCATCTGTGTTTTTAAATTATGCTCACTTATACCCACAATATTTCGCTTTAATCCAAAAAAAATATTTGTTAAAATTACTGTAAAAGAAGAACATGTTACAGGCAGTGTTGGGAAGGTGACTTTTAAAATGTATTCCCCTACAGATTACAGATTACATACCCCAAAATGTAGTTTGTAACAGAATCCATTAAATTACTTAAAGTGAGTAATGTAATCTGAATACTTTGGATTACTTGATTTGCTGTAGAGAAGCAAAGACGAGGAAATCTTCACATAAGATGTTCTGTCTGATAAAAGAAAATAAAAAGCCCAGACTTTACTGAACCACATTAAAAATATTATTGATAGAAGACGAGACACGTCCACACAGCAGGATTTAGTCCTGGTTTAGTCCTGTTTTAATCTGGTTTTAGACCTGGTTTAGTCCTGGCTTAGATCTGGTTTTAGTCCTGGTTTAGTCTTGGTTTAGTCCTGGTTTTAGTCCTGGTTTAGTCCTGGTTTTAGTCCTGGTTTAGTCCTGGTTTAGTCCTGGTTTAGACCTGGTTTAGTCCTGGTTTAGACCTGGTTTAGTCCTGGTTTAGACCTGGTTTAGTCCTGGTTTAGACCTGGTTTAGCCCAAAATGTGAAAACAGGAAAACACCGCCCTGTAATCCACTTATTCCAACAAAGTAACTGTAATCCAATTACCACTCATTGAAACAGTAACTGTAACTGAATACAGTTACTCATAATTTGTACTCTGATTACTTAACTCCGGTACATGTAATCTGTTACTCCCCAACACTGGTTGCAGCAGTTTGACATAATTAAGTTAGTAGGACTATTTCTAAAACTTTAAATATACACAACTTAATCTATTTAATTACTTTGAATGTTCTGTGAGTGTAGTGGTTTGATCTGCACTATACCAGCGTAAGAATGACTCAGACCAGCAGATGGCAGCAAATATCCAGGATAGAAACTTGGAAGTGAACATAGAACAGATGTACTAAGAGACATGCGTGACATAAACTGATGACTGGTACTAATCGCAGCACTAAGAGCTGGAAAAGGTTCATACAGTGTAAAACCTCTTCTGAGTGAGACTGTGTGAGTGTGTACCTCTCTGACCGGCCGCTCCTCCTGCAGAAACATCAGGCTGGTCGACTCGAGCTGGATCGAAGCAGTCGCCAGAATCTTCAGAGATTTAAACCCGATCTGCAATAACAGAGAGGAGAGACAATGTTACTGTGAACTGTGAACTTATAACCAGAAGAAAAGACGTACAAGAGCTACAAACTGTACTCAAGTAAGAGCCATGTATGAAACTATTCTCTGATCTAATGTAGTTTCCTCACACACACACACCTGGAGTTGGGTTGTGCTTCATTCACACATGTTTAACACACAAATCCTGCATATTTAGTTTCTCAAAGTGAAAAGACTTTGTTCCACCTTGTGATGTCATGAATACAGAAAGCGCTCCACAGTGTTTTTAAACTCCATACAGCTTCACTAGAATCATTTGGATTATTTTAGACCTGGAACTGCCAATCTCTACTGAACTAAAAATAAAAGGAGCTGTGAACTTGAAAACTACCACTTCACGACATCACAAGGTTGAACAGAGCATTTTAAGCTTTATAAGCTTGTAGACAGATTAATAATAAAGAGTTACTCCGACATGGGTGAATGAAATAAACAAGTCCAGGTCTGTTTCTGAGGAGGTAACAACATTATAACACAGTTTAAACCTCACTAGAGTCATTTTTATGTAATATTATACCTTTAAATAAAAATAATATTAACTACAAATTACTCGAGTAAGTAAGTATTCAAGGTTTAAGACAACATCACAACATTCACAGACATATATTTAATACAGATGGAGACAGATAAAATCAATATTTTTCAAATGTGGGTTTTAGTTTTGATAATGATCTAGTCACAAATAAATGATCAGGTTCAACATTTGTGAATATTCTCTTTGAATACTTTAAGGTAATCAACAGGGAAAATCATAAGTGGGAGTGGGAGTTTATACATTTTTCTTCTTCCCACTCCCTTTCCAGCTTAAATTATTATATTATTGTAAATATGTGGCAAACCCATTATGTGATCTTGACCATAGAAATGTAAATACTGTATATATGTAAATACTGTAACATTAGCTCCGGCGGCACTGTGGCATCCGGGCCTTTCTGTGTGGAGTTTGCATGTTTGTGTCTGGATGGGTTTCCTCAGGCACTCTGGTTTTACCTAAACACTCTGGTTTCCCCCATCACCCCAAAACATGCTACAAGTCTCCAGGAAGAACAGCAGATAGCTCAGGTCAATACACGCATCAAGAATCTCGGACTTCCGGTCATTGCGCAATTCATACTGGGAAGGATTTTCCGAAAAAGCGATCATCAAACCTCCATGTTTGTTTTCCCAGTGGGACGTGTCTATTGACAAAGTTTCCTGTGGATCAATCCTGCCCATCACTTTCACCTTTCACTATTTTTCAATTCCACTGGGAAGAGAAACAGTTTGAACAGAGGTTTGCAGTCACACACATCTGATTCACTTTTGCACTTATAGAGTTCGCAAACACATTTCTCGAGCCGTTTTCCGCTGTTAGGATCAAACAACCACACAATGACGATGTCCAAATCCCAAAACTTAAATATGACAATATCAGAACCAGAAACAAAAGTGATATGGTTCAAAAGACTTGAAAAGATCGACTTTGACAATAAACACGTCCCACTGGGAAAACAAACATGGTGGTTTGATGCTCATTTTTTCGGAAAATCCTTCCCAGGATGCATTGCGCAATGACCGGAAGTCCGAGATTCTTGATGTGTCTATTAAATACAATCAATCAATGAACCTGCCCAGGGACGACAGGTGGAAATGAGCCCTGGCATCTCTCCCGTTCAGGTTCATGTAGATTGTGTAGGGCTGAGTATCATTAAGAAGTTGCCGATACGATACATATCTCAATACATAGGCCACGATACGATACATATCTCGATACAGTGCATGTTCGATATGATGCGATATATTTCAAATCTATTCAATAAGGTTAAATAAAAAATAATGCCTGATACTGAAAGTCTTAGTTAAATGGTTTCATGTGCAAAGTTAATATAAAAATAAAAAAGCCTATTTTAATAATCAAAACAGTGAAAATGTCAAATATGTTGCATAAACGAGTTTCTTTCCTCTAAACAAGCAACAAAACTATAGCGCTGTAACAAAATAATTTTGTAAAATATACCAAAAAATACTCTTGTTGATGTATCGATACAACAGCCCACGATATCGATACTGTATCATCACATTAAACGATATGATATATCGATATTTTGATATTTTTGCACACCCTAAGATTGTGCACTGTCCCTGTCTCATTAAATACATAAATAAATAAAAGCTTGAAATAACAACTTGCAAAACAATAAAAATACTATTTATTATCATTGTGGTTATTTAAACTGACATTGAAGCATTTCAGTATCAGTATCAGTATCAGTATCAGAGCACACCATGAGACAGACGGTACAAAGATTCTTAGAGTAAAGGAGAATGGTTGATGCTGACAGACACACAGGAGTCTCTGTTTTAAATGAGTTCTCTGTGTTAGTTTGCCTCTGTGGTTGTGTGTTTCGTTGTGTTAGATTCCCTCACCTTGCTCAGGGCCGTGGAGTTGAGTCGTCCTGATATTGAGATCCTCACTTCTTTGGACACAGGTAGAGTCACTGTGCACTGGATGCCCACACTGCCACTGTTACTGCGATTCTGCACACGGCATCAACACAACGCAGTTCAAAATCAAACACTACCATCAGATTTATAGTCACTTTTCCATGAACACATAAAAATTCCAGTTGGATCTATTTTTTTATACAATACAACAGAAGAGCGGTGAACAGGAGAGCAGTCACGCACACTCACAAATCTGCCTTCTGAACCTGGACTTTTTACTTTAGACAAGACTTTAGACTTCACAACTGTCTACTGTGTGGGGAAAATAGAAATTCTTCAGAAAGCACATTGATCTGGACTTAGGGTGAACAGATTTTCAAAATCAGAAACTGGGACACCCTTGGTTTGTGGAGGTTTGTAATAATAAAATTGTGAAATGAGCGTGTAATGAAGGAAAACTGTTTTGCACTCGGCTCATTCATGACGAACACGTGAGTCAGTATAGTCACATTTTCTTTGTGTTTTGGTCATTTTTAAGCAGCTTTTTTATATTTTACCTAAACAAATGTCAACTTATATCCTGTATTGGGAAGGTTACTTTAGAATGTATTCACCTACAGATTACATATTACATAACTCAAAATGTAGTTTGTAACGTAATCCATTAAATGACTTAAAGTGAGTAACGTAATCTGAATACTTTGGATTACTTGATTTGCTGTAGAGAAGCAAAAACGAGGATATTGTAACATAAGACTTTACTTAACCATACTAAAAATATTATTGATAGAAGACGAGGAGACGCGTCCACGCAGCATGATTTAGCCCTATTAAATCCTGTTTTAGACCTGGTTTAGTCCTGGTTTAGTCCTTGTTTAGACCTGGTTTTAGACCTGGTTTTAGACCTGGTTTAGTCCTGGTTTAGTCCTGGTTTAGTCCTGGTTTAGACCTGGTTTAGTCCTGGTTTAGTCCTGGTTTAGACCTGGTTTTAGTCCTGGTTTAGTCCTGGTTTTAGTCCTGGTTTAGTCCTGGTTTGGACCTAGTTTAGACTTGGTTTAATTCTGGTTTATACCTGGTTTTAGTTCTGCTTTAGTCTTGGTTTAGACCTGGTTTAGACCTGGTTTGGACCTGGTTTAGTGTCCAGCAATGAGTAGAATTACCGGAATTTAAAAAAAAGGGATATAGCCCAAAATGTGAAAACAGGAAAATACCACCGTGTAATCCATTTATTTCAACAAAGTAACTGTAATCCAATTACCACTCACTGAAACAGTAACTGTAACTGAATACAGTTACTCATAATTTGTACTCTGATTACGTAACTCCGGTACATGTAATCTGTTACTCCCCAACACTGGTTATATCTCTCTTTACTGTTGACAAGGATCAAATTGGTCAAATATAGGGACTCTTGGGACATTTCTTGGACATAAATGGATAAATCTGCTGGGAAAGGGGACACAGAGCTACTACTGCCCCCACTGAAATCTTTTGGTGAGGAGTTTTAGCCAATCACAGCAACCAACTGACATGCTTCAGTAATAAAACTATATATTTTATCCTATATTATTTAGTCAAGAGGCATCGTATGCACTTTTTTACCCTTGCGACCTAAACAGCAATTATTGATCAAATGTTTTGGTCAGGAAATATTCACTCTCTGCTCTGAACCAAAAGTTGTGTGGACAGCTGCAAGTCGTACAAGATCGATTCTCATTCAAATTAAATGGTTTAAAGGTTAGAAAAGGTGAAAAAATTCCTCAAGCCCACAGTTTCAATTAAAATATTTCTTTCAAAAATTACAAAAAGGGCACTAAGACTGTATCTGATGGTGAATTTAAAAAGGAAGCCGTTTGTGTGAAGCTAAAAGCAAAGGGAGTCACTCTTCTAGTCTTCATACCAGCTGAGGAAAGCGAGTCAGATCCTCTTCTTTGACGTGACTGTTGAGTGTCACTTGAGGCATGGAACACGACCCAGGGGCCTGAAAACACCACAGACATAACTTTAAAATTCACAAAATAGTAAAACAAAATGTAAAGGGTGAGTATTGAAGTAGTACCTGTTCTATAGAGTAATCTGTCACATGGACGAGCTGGTTCCTCTGTGGAGTCACTGACCAAACTTCTGCCCTGAACAACAGCCCCTCCACCGGGAACACACCCAGGTTCTGTAACTGCAAGAAAAAAAAACAAAAAAACATATAGTAGTAGTAATAGTAGTAACAGTAGTAGATTGCAAAAGTATTAGAAGTGGATATATTTTTTAATAATATAAATTCTAAACATGGGGAAATATTGACATTGTGTGGTAGAAGAGAAGTGTTGAATAATTCTTACGTAATAGGTGAGGTTGAAACGTGTGGTCCGTTTTGTCCAGTGAAGACAAAGGTTTGATCTCAAATCGAGGAGGATTAGTGTCTCTTTAAGAAGAAATACATATGTCAATCATAAGTAATTCATAATATACGGTACAGAGGAGGGACAGTGAATATATGGAAATCCTAAGGCACAGGTGTCAAACATACGGCCCGGGGGCCAGATCCAGCCCTCCAAGACCTTTAATCTGGCCCTCGGCTGATTTTCTACTAAAATATTTAATAATATTTTCTATTAAAATCTTGTTAATTTTCTGTGGTTTTTATCACAGCATCGTCTCTGTACGTGGCCCCTCCCACCAGAGCAGCACAAATAAAGACTTGTCTCTTTCCAAACGCTCTTAAAGGACGATCGTTTTGACTGTTGACCGTGACACCCTCATCACAAAATGTCAAAAATGAGAAAAGTGGAGCCGAGTGCAGAATTTTACAAGAAAAATTGACTTATTCCTGTTTACAGACAAGTTCATGTTAAAACTTTGTGTTGAAATTGCATTTTTCTTAGTGTTTCAGGTTGTTCATAATATTATAATATTTTATAAAACAAAGAGTTCATCAATTAAAAAAGATTTCTGTAATAGATTGGTGTTTCTCTGCACAAATATTTGAACTTATTGTTATTTTTGGGGTTTATATGTCATGAATTTTACTGATCTGGCCTCTCTGGGATCAAAGTCGGTTGGATACCAAAATGAATTGACACCCCTGTCCCAAGGTGATACTACAGGCTGAAGAAGTGAGTGTGAGGGGCTCCAGTCAAATGAAGCTCACTGAGGATGGAAGTTATGGGTCAAATTTTGAGCATAGTTCATTATTAGGAAGAGGAATTGATTTATGGTCAAAACAAAAAAATAAAAACACCAGGATCATGTAGAGCGGGTTAATATGAACATTTGAGGCCAAAATGAGGAGCCTGGAAGCAGCAGATCCAGAGAGAAGGACGAGGTTTTCAATACAAAGAGAATTTGAGCCAGAGTCAATGGAGCAGGGTAGCTATGGCCGTTTATATATACAGTGTAAGAGTGTAAAAAATAAGAGGCCGAGAGGAAGATTTATGGATGAAAGAAGTGAATAATTTAAAAAAGTAAAAGACTTTCTCTGACCTGGTGAACAGAAGATTGGTTTGGTATTTCAAAGGGAGGAAGATTTCGTTGATGTTGTCATCTGGAAACCCGTCCTCTCCATCACTGAACACAAATACACACAATTACAGATACATTTATAAAACCTTCACTTTCACTTTGATATCATCAACATTCTCTGGAGGTATGATGCTAACTGTTGGCACTGTTCTGTCTGAAGCTCTGTTACTCAAGTTTTGATCATAAAAAACTGACTTAACTGGAATTACAACAGGTGACATGATTTGTGCACCACACAAATCTCTCACACATACAACTAATTAAGCACAATACAGGATCTTTGAGTAATGTTTGAGACCCACCTGGTGGTTGTCATGACGATTCGTATGTGCTCCAGAAACACAGATCGATTGAGCTCAAATTCCACATTAAAGGAGACCTGGAGCAAAAAACGTTTATTCAAAGGGCTACAATAAGTGCTGTGTCAACAAAATATAATCTATAAAGAATAATACAGGTGAATAAAACATCTATAACATATTGTTCAACTTCACTTTGTTTTTAAAAACAGCTCTAAGCCATGGAATAAGAACTGGATATGGACTAGTGGTCACTCCAGGTACTGCAGCTCTGGCCCAGAAAGAACTGGCCCATAGAGCCCGATGTATTTTTTTGTGAAATTAAACTGGCTGTGTTTAGATGACAGGGCATCCACAGCTTTCATAAAGGTCAGATTCTGCAAGGATTCTTCTGTATTTTTACAATATAAAAAGTTTAAATCATCAAAGCGCCTAAAAGTTAGCTCTGACCTGTGACAGAGACTTCATGAAGGGAGCGCTGATGTTACAGCTCCTCCTGCTGGTCAGTCTGTCCTCAGAGGAGCACTCGATCTGAATGTCTGACTGGTCCTGAGGAGAAGACAACAATCAGATAATGATAAAAAGCTGTGCAGACATGGACAGCCTCCAGGTGTCCATCACCTTCTGGTTTCTGTGAATATGTCATTGCTCTGCCTGGAATGGAATTTTGCTTCAAAATACAGAGAAAAACAGGCATTCAGACTGTAAGCGGGGCCGCCTCTCCACAGATCTGACCTATAACTTGGTCTGCTTTGGTCTCCGTGATAGAAAGGTTTAATGCCATACTGTGAAACATTCCAGACAAATCAATAACTTATCTACAAAGTTGAAAAAGCTGAGGCACTCAAAAAGTACAGAACCAACAGAAGCCATTAATAGCACACGGCAGACGAAGTAACTTATCTGTTTTGTCAAATACAGATGTTTTATATACATTAGGGATGGGCATTCGATGACATTTTCTTAATCGATCGTCGGAAGAATTAACAATTGATTATCGATTAATCATTAACGTTTTTATATTAAAATGATCATCATTATTATTACTATCTGCACTACTAATCTGCATAAATAAATTCAACTTTACGACATATAAACCGTAACGACTCTAGAGCCACATCAGCCGTTTGACATTATAATGTGTTTAATTCAGTTTTGTTGCAACTCTCACAGAAACAAAACTTAAAACCACATCGCTAATTTGCATAAACTAAGCGAAGATAAAACTACAGCTCTTGTGTCGCTGATGCGGTCAATTTCTGTTGGATTAAAAGACATGACTCAGGTGAATACAGGTTATTGTGACTATATTTGTGTTTGTCAAAACCAGGACACCGTACGGGGCGAGGGAGGTGGGGACTCGTCATCGACATTGCGCGACTCTCACCTGGAAAAGCTTTTTCCCACTGGACACCGATGTGCCTTCTTTATACACTATGCACGTCCTCCCACTTTTCCGAACGCAACGGAAAACCTGGAATTTCTTGTACAAGTCATCGTTAAATACACATTTGTGCTTTGGTATGTTGCAGACTGACCCACTGTTTGTGTCTCGCTCCTTCTGATGCAGAGACACATGTACAGACCTGTTTGGTCACAACACACACAGCAACCTACATTCGGTTTGTCGATTAAAATTAACGTAATCGATGAAATTCTTAATGATCAATTATCGATTAATCGATTAATCATGCCCATCTCTAATATACATACATATTTTATTTTACTAAAATATACTTTTAAAACACCTCTGAATAGATTTACTTCTGAAGAACATCTGAACTGTAACTGAATGGTCACCTGCTTTTCTCCAAGGAGATAGATAAAGCCTTACTGCTGAACATTCCAGTCAACAAAATAAGAGTTCCATGGTGACTAGGTTATGGACCCTCCACCAAAAAAGTTCCATAGTGCTCCTGTAAATGAGCGCTGTACCTTCACTATCAGACTGTAGAAAATGACTTTTTGGGGGTAGATCATTTGTTACATTGTGGGACATTCCAGGCAAAGCAATAACATCTCCATGGTGACAAGCAGGTGGTGATGTACCCTCTGCTACAAAAGTGACAAAGTAGATCTTTAAATGAGCGCTGTACCTTGACGATGAGGCTGTTGAAGATGAGGTTTTCAGACGCGGTGATGTGAAGAGTGGCTCCGTATGCGTTTTCTCCATGATTCTCAACATGAGCCACCACCACCACCTTCCTCCTCCCAGACTCCATCACATACTGCTGCTCATCTGACGCCCCCTGCTGGTGACACACGGACCACAGCGCCCCCTCCACGGAGCTGCAGAACTCACTGTGGGCCAAACAGAAGCATGTTAAAGGTTTGAAGCATGTTTGAATTGTTTTACATTGGTTCATGCATGTCTGTAATGTGAGTGTTCAAGTTCATATTTTAGGTCACTTCCTTTGGGTAATGCTTATAAAAAAAATAAAAAAAACATCACGTCTACAATAAATTTTTATATTCGTTCTTAAAATAATGAGTTCTGTTAGTGGTTTTTGATAAGTGAAAGAAAGAAGAAAGTAAAAGAGTGACTGACTGCAGAGTGGGGAGGTCCGTGTGGCTGTGTAAGATCAGGTCTGGTACACAGCTGTCCTCCTGCTCACAGCCGTTCCAGAAGGGCAGCTGCAATCACAGATATAATGGTGAATATGAGATATGTCTGCCATGAGATACAGCATCAAATGTTCACATCTCCAGTGGGACTGATGCAGTTCATTTTTGGGGTTTATTTTATTTCATTTAGAGCAAAAGAGTTTTAGCACTGCAGGCACAGACTGTATCAAGAAGTGGCCAGTGTGATGTTAATCATAGTGCTGTCATGCGATTAAAAAAATTTAGAGATTAATTAATTATGATATGTAATTAATTAATCTAATTAATCTCATTTTAATCTCACCTAAAAATTGCTGAGAAAAGCCTTCAATTTGAGGTATTTTCATTTAAATTCATTATTACATTATTGTGGCAGATCAAAAGACTGATATAGAACAAAAAAAAGTGACTTTATAAAGTCATTTATTGTTTAACAAATCTCTCCAAATTGGCTGTTGATCCCAAGTCTCCATGAATAAGAAACTGTTTGCTGTAAAGTAGCAAAGACGAGGAAATCTGAACATAATAACTTTTGTCTACTTAAAGACAATAAAAAGTCCAGTCTTTCCTTAACCATATTAAAAATATTATTGATAGAGAAATGTTTTATATATGAGATCACTGGTTTTAGTCCTGGTTTTAGTCCTGGTTTAGACCTGCTTTAGTCCTAGTTTAGTCCTGGAAAGGGTTAGTCCTGGTGTTAGTTCTGGTTTAGACCTGGTTTTAGTCCTGGTTTTAGTTCTGGTTTTAGTTCTGGTTTTAGTTCTGGTTTAGTCCTGGTTTAGTCCTGGTTTAGACCTGGTTTAGTCCTAGTTTAGTCCTGGAAAGGGTTAGTCCTGGTGTTAGTTCTGGTTTAGACCTGGTTTTAGTCCTGGTTTTAGTTCTGGTTTTAGTTCTGGTTTTAGTTCTGGTTTAGTCCTGGTTTAGTCCTGGTTTAGACCTGGTTTAGACCTGGTTTTAGTTCTGGTTTTAGTTCTGGTTTTAGTTCTGGTTTAGTCCTGGTTTAGTCCTGGTTTAGACCTGGTTTAGACCTGGTTTTAGTTCTGGTTTAGTCCTGGTTTAGTCCTGGTTTAGACCTGGTTTAGTCCTGGTTTAGACCTGGTTTAAACCTGGTTTAGTCCTGGTTTAGTCCTGGACTGGATTAGTCCTGGTTTTAGTCTTGGTGTTAGTTCTGGTTTAGAGGCGCACAGGAGGAAGCGCGGTTTAAGCAGCGTACGGGAGAAAACACGATCCACACGCGGCTCACAGGAGCACGTCAGTGTCCGCGCACTGTCTACGGAAGGAAACGTGGTCCACGTGTTCTCAGGGTAATGACGATGATGAAGGTGTGTGTTTGTTTGTGTGTGTTTGTTTGTGTTTGTGTGTGTTGTGTGTGTGTGTGTGTGTGTGTGTGTGTGTGTGTGTGTGTGTGTGTGTGTGTGTGTGTGTGTGTATAGGACAGTAGTGCAGACATCATGAGCCTATGCAGGTTGTTTTCACCAGTGACATTTAAGTTGGAGGTGATTTTATATTTGTTATTTTCTTTTATATTTCACATCGGGAGAAGAATTTCCAAGACACAAATGTGTTTTTCCCTGTGCACTGCTGCTCTGTTCTACTGGCTCTTCCACCTCGTCCATTGTGCGACTGACGCCGCCAACGTTAACATGACGTTTACATCGCTCTTACTGCGCGCGTTTTGTGTGGGTTTCCGGCAATGAGTGGAATTACCGAAATAAAAAAAATGTATAAATGTGTTTTTTGTGTGTGTGTTGTTGTCCCAACATATAAAACAGGTTTTATAATAAAGCAACTCACATACAGAAACAGTAAAGTTACAGATTAAAAATGAGATTAACGCAATTAAAAAACATAACACGCTAAATATGACTGTAATTAATTAATCCCAATTAACGCGATAATTTGACACCCCTAGTTAATCATACTGTTCAGCTCCACTCAAATGAAGCTCACCATGCTAACGGTTACCGGGGAGAATTTGGAGCCAGGCTCTATACTATGAATAGGATTTTTTAACGGATAAAACAGCTGAATAGAAATCCCAGGGTCATGTAGAGCAGGTTAATATGAATATTTTTAGACCAAAATGACAAGTCTCACAGCAGCAGTTACAGAGAGAGGAGCCACTATATTCAAATGTAATTCAAGGTCAGGGTCAGGGTGACTGTGTATTTGGAACACAGCGTCTAGCACGTAGCTATGTCCCTTTATATACAGGCTATGACTGCATGGGGACAACAGTTTGTCTGAAGTTTACAGTATAGTATAACACACAGCTACAGGCACATTATTGCCTTCAATTCCTGGCAAAATTCCACTGAAGTTATAACAACTTAGATTTTGGTCAAACCTCATATCATCAAAAGGCAACTTTTACTCAAATAATAAAATAGTTTGCATCGCTATATCAAAGGTCATGTGATTGGTATCGGGCTGATAAAAAATTAAGTTGATCAATATCGGTGATCTGCCTCAAAAATTGAGGGCCCTGCAAAATCAATAAACTTGAACTTTAAAACAATTGAAATAATATGAGGAAGCTCCTGACCTCAGTCCTCAGAGCTGTGGGCCAGTCTGGATCCAAAATGGCTCCTTCCTCTTTGTTTCTCAACCCTGTCTCCAGCACCACTGCAATCGGACGCCCATAATCTCCTGTTTCCTATTCATGCAAAATATTTTAGGCTTTTAAATATGTTTTCTAGTGATTTTCTTCTGGTTCTTACGTGTACAGAGAAGCCCAGTCTCTGACAGCGCTGCCCTCCGGTGGTCAGAGTGAGGTTACGCGGTTGAGTGCGAGACGATTCATCCAGAACGGCTCTGGGAGGAAACCTCTTCTCATCCAACACCAGACTGTACCAGCCCGCTGCACCAGGACAAAAATATTATTATTGCCATTTACCATAATATTATATTGTGATGTGTGAGCTACTGTCTCCAAACACTTTCCCTTGTAGATCAATAGAGTCTAAGGTCTAAGTTTACATTTTATTCATCTACAACTATCTAATATTATATTATATTATATTATATATATATTATCATGTGTAGTGTGCATGCTCCCTCAGTCATGCAGACGGGTCCATAGCAAAAGAAGATTGAATTCTGTTGACTGGACTTGTGTTTTTAGACTGTCTACATTTCACCACTCGTCCAAACACCTTCTTTGCTTCTTTTTGGCACAGCTCTGGTAATGGACTGCCTTCAAAATCTCAGTTATAGATGGGCAGTGTTGGGGAGTAATGGATTACATGTACCAGAGTTATGTAATCAGAGTACAAATTATGAGTAACTGTATTCAGTTACAGTTACTGTTTAAGTGAGTGGTAATTGGATTACAGTTACTTTGTTTAAATAAATGGATTACACAGAGGTATTTTCCTGTTTTCAAGTCTAAACCAGGTCTAAACCAGGTCTAAACCAGGACTAAACCAGGACTAAAACCAGGTCTAAACTAGGACTAAACCAAGACTAAAACCAAGTCTAAACCAGGTCTAAACCAGGTCTAAACCAGGACTAAACCAGGACTAAAACCAGGACTAAAACCAGGTCTAAACTATGTCTCAAACAGGATTTAACAGGACTAAACCATGCCGTGCGGATTGTGTCTCCTCCTCTTCTATCAATAATATTTTTAATTTGGTTAAGGAAAGCCTGGGCTTTTTATTTTCTTTTAGCAGACAAAACATCTTATGTGAAGATTTCCGAGTCTTTGCTTCTCTACAGCAAATCAAGTAATCCAAAGTATTCAGATTACATTACTCACTTTAAGTAATTTAATGGATTACGTTACAAACTACATTTTGGTGTATGTAACCTCCCCAACACTGTAGATGGGTGGCAAAACATATTCCTTCTAAAAACATGTGTCCAGTTCTTTTGCTACAGAACATTGGGCAACATACAGTAGATACCACTGGTGTAAGGTTTAGTTATGCTTAAAACAAAACCCACTGATACTCAAGAATATAAAAAGAAGTATAAGCACATGGACTGGACTGTGTCTGATGTTCCCATTGAAACTGCCACAATAGATGCATCAAGAATTTCGGACTTCCAGTCATCGTGCAATGCATACTGGGAAGGATTTTCCAAAAAAGTGAGCATCAAACCTCCATGTTTGTTTTCCCAGTGGGATGCGTCTATTGACAAAGCCAGTGTTTTCTAGTCTTTTGAACCATATCACTTTTGTTTCTGGGTTGAGAAATTTGTTTGCAAACTCCATAAATGCAAAAGAGAATCAGATGTGTGTGACTGCAAACCTCTGTTCAAACTGTTTCCCTTCCCCACAGAATTTAAAAGTAGTGAAAGGTGAAGGTGATGGGCAGGATTGATCCACAGGAAGGACCAAAAAAAGGAAACCTCTTACTGCCTAAGAAATCATCCCGAGTCTGAGAACATTTTGTATGTGAAGCACCGACAAAGCAAAATCCCGATCCCTCGCTCCACCTCGGTTACCAATTTAAAAAGTCAACGCCAAAGTGAAAGGCACCAAGAAACACCTTCCACTGCAAAGAGACCAAGACGTGATGTTGCTGTAAAACCACAAGTACAAGAAAGTGCAGCTCAGTCTCAGTTTGTCTTCTGCTCCTCTCACTTAACAAACGGGATCCTGCTTTGATGGCTCCACATACAAAGGAAGTAACAACAGAAAGTGTTGGGAAGGTGACTTTTAAAATGTATTCCCCTACAGATTACAGATTACATACACCAAAATGTAGTTTGTAACGTAATCCATTAAATTACTTAATGTGAGTAATGTAATCTGAATACTTTGGATTACTTGATTTTCTGTAGAGAAGCAAAGACTAAGATATTGTAACATAAGATGTTTTGTCTGATAAAAGACAATGAAAAAGCCCAGACTTTACTGAACCAAATTCAAAATATTATTGAAAGAAGAAGAGACACATCCACGCAGCATGGTTTAGTCCTGGTTTAGTCCTTGTTTAGACCTGGTTTTAGACCTGGTTTAGACCTGGTATTGTCCTGGTTTCGTACTGGTTTAGTCCTGCTTTAATCCTGTTTTAGTCCTGTTAAACCCTGTTAAATTCTGTTTTAGTCCTGGTTTAGTCCTGGTTTAGCCCTGGTTTAGCCCTGGTTTAGTCCTGGTTTAGTCCTGGTTTAGCCTTGGTTTAGACCTGGTTTAGTCCTGGTTTAGACCTGGTTTAGTCCTGGTTTAGACCTGGTTTGGGTCTAGTTTAGATCTAGTTTAGACCTGGTTTAGTTTCTGGCAATGAGTGGAAAAAAGAAAAAAAAGGGGGATATAGCCCAAAATGTGAAAACAGGAAAACAGGAAAATACCGCCGTGTAATCCATTTATTTCAGCAAAGTAACTGTAATCTAATTACCACTCAATGAAACAGTAACTGTAACTGAATACAGTTACTCATAATTTATACTCTGATTACGTAATTCCTGTACATGTAATCTGTTACTCCCCAACACTGACAAGAGCTGACCACGCCTACAGGAAGTAACAACAGCTGATATACGACACGTCACCATCAACACCGTGACAGTTCTGAAGATGCAGCAGCAGCCGAAACATGTCAACAAGGTAAATACACTTTACTGTATTGTCTTTAAAAAGAACCCAAGAAGTTAGACGTAGAGTTTGTTCCATGCACACATGTTTGAGTAATATTTTATTATTAGTTTGTCTCCAAATCTCCAAAGCTGAAAATGCTTAGTTCCACCTTGTGATGTTATGAAGTAGTTTTCAAGTTAACAGAAACTTTTTACCTTTAGTTGAGTAGAGATTGGCAATTCCAGGTGAAGTGAAGGTGTATGGAGTTTAAAAACACCATGGAGCACTCCTTGTATTACCGCATGACATCACAAGGTGGAAGTAGGTGGTGGAGTGCAGTAGTTTGATTGTGGTTTGGACTCACCCACATCAGTGCGGGCGGGGCTGCTGGTGCGGGCCTCCAGACTCAGACACACAATGGCAGACATACAGGTGACCTCCCGACCCCCGCGCACACAGTCTTTGTTAAACAGGTTCACCTTCTCGGGTTCAAAGGTCAAACGCGCCTTGATACGCACCACGCCTCGAGACCTGCAAACACCAAACATGAAGACTTCAGTATTTATTTAAAGGCGCACTGTGTAACTTTTCTAGTAGGGGTCCAACATCTGTTTGTATTAATGATTCTGTCTGAAATGTTCCTCAGTATGACATTAAAAGGGTCATACTACACTATTGTCTGATCTGCAGTATGTTACAATGTTGTTTCCTCATCACAAACAGACCTGGAGTTGTGTTTGTTTCATTCACACATTTTTAACACACAAACCCTACATTTTTAGGCTGAGTTCTTCTCTCAAACAGAAAACACAATGCCCCACTTTGTGATGTCATGTGGTAATAACGGAAGCGTCCTCTGTGTTTTTAAACTCCATACACCTTCACTAGAATCACTACATTATATCAAGATGTAGACAGGATGCAAGATTACTCAAACGCAAAATAATTTGTGAATGAAACAAAATTCCAGGTGTGTTTTTGAGGAGGTTACACAGCTTAAAACTCACAAGAGTCAACGCCTCGTAATACAGCACCTTTAAACTTGACAGTATGCAAAACAGATCTTTTTACTGGTAAATAATTACCTTGAATAATACCTAATAATACCTAAAACATGTAGTCACCTCTCCACAGATTTGACTTGTAACTTGTCTTGATGGTGTCATTTCCTTGTTTCCATGACAACATACTGTATAAGCTTACAGGTGCTCAATGTAAAATACAGTGAAAAACACATGAACTTGTTTCCATTGTGATAACCAAGTCAGTTCCAGACTGTGAAATATTTCAAGGCAAAGCAACATCTTCATGGAGACAAGTAGGTGGTGGACCCTTCACCAGAAAAGTTACATAGTGCAGCTTTAAGCATGTTTTGGAAAAGTTATGTTAAAGACAAAAAGATTTAATACAGGGATGTCAAACAGGTCTTGGATGTCCGGATCCGGCCCTCCAAGACCTTTAAACTGGCCCTCAGCTGATTTTCTACTAAAATATTTAAATTATATTTTCTATTAAAATCTTGTTAATTTTCTGTGGTGTTTATCACATCAGCGTCTCCAGCGTCTCTGTACGTGGCCCCTCCCACCAGAGCAGCACAAATGAAGACTTGTCTCTTTCCAAACGCTCTTAAAGGACGATCGTTTTGACTGTTGACCGTGACACCCTCATCAGAAAAATGTCCAACATGAGAAAAGTGGAGCCGAGTGCAGGATTTTCCAAAAAAAATTAACTTATTCCTATTTACATACAAGTTCAAGTTAAAACATTGTGTTGAAATTGAATTTTTCTTAAAGTTTCAGGTTGTTCATAATATCATAATATTTTGTAAAAGAAAGAGTTCATCAATTAAAAAAAGATTTCTGTAATAGATTTGTGTTTCTCTGCACAAATATTTGAACTTATTTTTATTTTTGGGGTTTATATGACATGAGTTTTCTGATCCGGCCCCTTTGGGATCAAAGTCGGTTGGATACGGCCCCCGGACCAAAATGAGTTTGACACCCCTGGTTGAACAGTTGTGTGACTGTGTCTAAACTGACCAGATGATGACCGCGGCCCCCAGAGCGCCCACAGACAGGTCCACCAGCCCGTCTGAGTTCAGGTCCAGGACTCCATGAAGACTCTGACCAAAATACTGAAGGCTGGAGCGGAAACCAGAAGCTGCAATCCTCTACAGAGACAGGAGGGGGCGCTGGTTATAAGCACACTGGTAATATCGTATATGTTTTCATCATAGTTATTTTGTCAGTAATTTGGATAGCGAAACAAAAATATAAAACAGAAAGTAATCATACCATATCCATGATTCAAATGACATGTTTGTCGACTAAAAGGCAATAAGTACCAATATGTCTGTCCAATATGAAGCAATGACCTTTACAATATCCTATAACTTAAATAAATGACTAAACTAAAACTAATATAGATTTAGTTAGTGAAATTAGCATGAAATTACATTGACTAAAATAGATTAAAACTATTATTTGACTAAATATTGACACAGGCAGAACATGCACAATCCTCACAGCACATCCATTTTATATTATACATTTTATTGTATTGAACATTATGCAGATGTAATAAACACAATTTGAAGGCAGAAAAACAAGTCTCATGATCATGTATGGACGTAAAAACAGCACAGGAGACTTGTGGATTTTTACCTGTAACGTAACAACTCTTTTTCATAACATCAACTTAATGTGAGTGTTTTAAAAGTACCTGTTTGACCTGAGGCTGGATGGACTTGTCCTGTCCATGGAACACATACACTGCCCCCTGGTGTTCGTCCTCTAGCGGCGCGCCCACCACCAGCTCCTTAAAGCCGTCTCCGTTCATGTCGGGCAGATCAGACAGAGCGGTGCCAAACCGGGAGTTATGGGAAAGACCCGAGGGCCCCAGCGCCCCCTGCAGGCTGAACGACAACTGCACCACAGGCATCAGCGCAGAGGGAGATTAGTCAGATTTAAGGGTGAATTACAGCTCAAATCAGACCTGAGATCGTCTTACCTTATTGTTAACGCTGTAGACGTAGACCTTGCCCTGCTCCCAGCCCTCGCTGTAAAACATGGGTGCAGACACGAGCAGCACGTCTGTCTGTCCATCACTGTCTATGTCCACAGACAACAGGACACTCCCAAAGTATGACCCGATCTGAACAAAACACCACAAGACCACACGCTTTCACTGAGGGGCAATCATACTGAACAAATAATAATAATAATAATAATAATAATAATGAACAAATAATAACAATAAAAAAAACTGAAATAGCCAAAACTTTGAGAAGCGGGAGTTTTAACAGCAAAACAGCAAAATTTCAGGACTTTTTGTCATTGTTCACTGGGTGATAAATGGGTGAGTTGGTTAGGAGAAAAATAATAATAAGAAGAATATTCATACAAGAACAATGTTCTGCTTTTTTTTTGGCCAACAAACTATACATTTTCGGAAACATCTGGCACATTGCTACATCATGGCGAGGGTCCCTGGTCACTACGGGTGAGTCATGTCACGCCATTTCCCTTCCCGACCTCTTGTAGCATCACTTTGCAATACTAATAGGCCCTTCATCAGCTTCTGGTGCTCGGGCATAAATAATAATAATACTGAACAAAACATGAAGCACAAAAATCCTCCTGTGTCTTTCTGTTATAACTGCGCTGCTTTTGTGATAATGTTCCCAGAACAGCGTGTGGATATTTTTACTTAAAGTGCCTATGACAGTTTGAACTGCTCATTTTACTAAAACACAGTTAAGTTCATTACATTTAATAAAAGGAATTATTTTTAAAAAAAAACAAAAAAACAGTCTGGCCATTTTTTAGGTTCCACATTTGACTTCCTTGTTGGAAATCATGACATCATGCTAGACAATTCCAACTGTTACCTAGCAACACTGGGACAAAACTCCTCTAATGTGCACAGAAATTATTATTTGACAAATAAAAATATCAGAAAACAAGACTTACCTTGTTTAAATCATTGTTTAAGTATTTGGGGGGAAAAAACAACAACAAAAGTCTAAATTTTTGGACAGAATTCTCTCTAGCATGATGTTGTCAGTATAGAGCTCTCTAACATAGAACTCTGTACTTTCTGTAATTTTCAAAAAAAATTTCAACTTTTCTTCACAAATCTGTGTAAAACTCAAGTTCAAAGTTCTTTATTTGTCATTCAAGCATGACAGAACGAAATGTGCTCCCTGAGACCCAGTGATCCAGAAAGAGATAAAAAACTCATATTTACAACAGGCGTTATCCCAACAAATACAGTCAAAATTTGAGAGTCACAGAAACATATCATACGCACTTTAATGCCTGTCTTTAGAAAACACACACTATTTCACTTCAACTTTATTGCCCACTGTGCTGGACATGTGTCTCTTTACATCAGTTGCACTCGCTGTACTTGGGCTAGATGACAAATACAGGTGCCAATCGCACATCCACACACGCATGGTACATGAAATATCTGGCCCAAGAGCACAAAAGAATGCAAAGCAGGAATCAAACCATAAATCTTTGGGCCACAGCGTCTACAGCGATCATAGCTACTACTACTACTACTACTATATTTACTTTGCTATTGCTACAATTAACTGTGTGTGATTGTTCCTGGCCTGTGCACACTGTCACTGAAGCCCAAGTCAATATTTCCACAGATGTAATTCTCGTCTCAGTCGCTGTGTTTGTTTGAGTACGACTTTTTCACCAGGCAAATATCAGAGCTATTAACTGCAACAGAATCTCCACAGAGGGACTCGCGCTTAGGTAATGGACTCATCAGTTCTGTTTTCAAAAACCATTGTGCTTCTTCAAAAATATTAGACTTAAAAGTTCTCTGTTGATGCTTTAGTGTGTCTGTATTTCACAAATAAATCACAAATCGATTCAAACATTTTGTCTCCATCTGCTTTGAATGAGTCTGATCCTCGGAGCCAGAGACAGATCATCCCCGACTCCATGTGTCCCACACGTGCACATACTTTCCACTTCAGCAACGTGCACGTACACCAGGACTGAACCAGGACTAAACCAGGACTAAACCAGGACTAAACCAGGACAGAACCAGGACTGAACCAGGACTAAACCAGGACTAAACCAGGACTGAACCAGGACTGAACCAACTAAACCAGGACTAAACCAGGACTAAACCAGGACTAAACCAGGACTGAACCAGGACTGAACCAGGACTAAAACCAGGTCTAAACCAGGTCTAAACCAGGACTAAACCAGGACTGAACCAGGACTGAACCAGGTCTAAAACCAGGACTAAACCAGGACTGAACCAGGACTGAACCAGGACTAAACCAGGACTGAACCAGGACTGAACCAGGACTAAACCAGGACTAAACCAGGACTAAACCAGGACTAAACCAGGACTGAACCAGGACTAAACCAGGACTAAACCAGGACTAAACCAGGACTGAACCAGGACTGAACCAGGACTGAACCAGGACTAAACCAGGGACTAAACCAGGACTAAACCAGAAACCAGGACTAAACCAGGACTAAACCAGGACTAAACCAGGACTAAACCAGGACTGAACCAGGACTAAACCAGGACTGAACCAGGACTGAACCAGGACTGAACCAGGACTGAACCAGGACTTACAGGTTGTATGGAGGATTTTTTTTTGTTTCAAATTGTCAATGATAGCATTATAGAGATGCAGTAGCCTTGTAATTATGATGACCAAAAAAAAGAGAATAAAAATTCATCAACTCTGGACGTGGTGGGGCTAAACATTTGCCAATAGATAACGACACTGCCTCGTTATCTGTTAGCTGACAGGCTGTCAATCAAACTCCCTACGTTTCTAGTGTAACTGACTTGCCTGCGCGCTGCCGTTACGTGGTTTATGTACGACTGTCACGCAGTCCACAGACGCAAGCCGCACAGACGCTGTTTACTCCACCAACGCAACAGTTCTTAGCGGCTTTTTTGACCTATATCTTCCTCGCAGTTTGCATAAAGTTTGTTGCAATGACAGACAAGAATCCAGGAGCAGTTCGCCGCAAAAGAAAGTCCGTTTTTGAGATTGCTGAAAGAAGAAGACAAGGGGAAAACAGCGAAGCCAAACTAAGGTGATTCTTGGAGATTCATTCCAACGATGGCGCGACTGAAGCAGACGCAGAGTCTAAAGACTGACGGTCGCCAAATTACTCCTGGACTGGTAACTTCTGCTTATTATGAAAACGTACTTTTTTTTTTATTTCCAAGAGCTAGAAAAACGTTTTTCAGGACATGAATGTGATATCCTATGTCTGAAAACGTAATTTTCAATGCAAAGAAAGAGTCCACCTGCTGCTGCGTGTTGTAGTAGTAGCAAGTTCATTCACACGGAATCTCTGCGCCCCCCTCTCTGCACCCCTTCCTGCTTCTCTCTCCTTTCCCTGTTCCGTTTCTCCCTGCTCCTCACTTCTTTTCTGCGCACAGAATCTCTGCACACCCCACCCCCTCCCCCCGCTCCTCACTTCTCCACCTTGCCTAACCAACACTGTAGTTAGTTGTTTACAAGTCATGTACAGCGATGAGGACTTTCTGGTGTAAAGAGGAGGCGGGAGGAGGGGTTTCTACGTAGGAGCTGTGGGGGAGGGGGGTGGTTTCACGCATGCGCAACATTTGAAAAACAACAAACAGTCGCTGGATTTCTCGTTCCTTGGAAAATCTTCTATAAACCTTTAACCAGAACTAAACCAGGACTAAACCAGGACTAAACCAGGACTGAACCAGGACGGAACAAGGACTGAATCAGGAATAAACCAGGACTGAACAAGGACTAAACCAGGTCTAAATTAGGACTGAACAGGACTAAACCAAAACTAAACCAGGACTGAACCAAGACTAAACCAGAACTGAACCAGGACTGAACCAGGGATACACCAGGACTGAACAAGGACTAAACCAGGACTAAACCAGTACTAAACCAGGACTTAACCAGGACTTAACCAGGACTTAACCAGGACTAAACCAGGACTGAATGAGGACTAAACCAGAACTAAACCAGAACTAAACCAGGACTGAACCAGGACTAAACCAGAACTAAACTTAGATGAAACCACTTCTAAACCAGTCAGGTCTTAAGCTGAAGTAAACTTGTTCTCCAGCTGCTTGTTCCACTGTTTGGCATTAAACATCTATGTCCACAGAGACATGTGGTCGTCGGTTAATGGGTCTGTAAACGACAAGCTGATGTTACCGGGTCAAATTATGGGTCTGGATCTGTAGAGAGGCTTGCCCACTCTACAGACACACACACAGTTCTTCTCTCAAAGTGAAAACACTGTTCCATCTTGTGATGTCATGTGGTGATACAGGAAGTGCTCCACCATGTTTTTAAACTTCATACATCTTCACTAGAATCATTTGGATCATTTCAGTCCTGGAATTGTCCATCTCTACAGAACAAAGGGTAAAGGTTAACTTGACAACTACCACTACATGACATCACAAGGTGGAACAGAGGATTTTGAGTTTTGGAGATGTAGACAGACTAATAATAAAGAGTTACTCAAACATGTGAATGAAACAAAACACAAGTCCAGGTGTGTTTTTGCTGAGATTACAACATTAGAGAGAGCAGCAACATTTCCACTGCACGTCTCAGTGTCCTGTGTCTCAGTCAAGGGTCTCAGGTCAGTGTAGCAGGAGGACTGGTCAGGGAGACAAAAGTGTTCCTCCCTCCTCTGTGTCCTGCAGCATCACAGCAGGCTGCAGGGGGCGCCAAGAGAACACAACAGGAAAGGCCTCTGGTGTTTCAGTTAAGTTCATTCCCTCAAAGTGTTTACTCTGAAAGGTTTTCTGTCACTATTACTGCCTCATATTGTGTAAAAAGCCTGTCCATCTCCAATGTCCATAACTAGCTCCTTAGTTAGTTTAGTTAGGCTACGTTCAGACTGCAGGGCTTAACGCTCAATTCCGATTTTTTTGTGAAATCTGATGTTTTTGCGACGTTGTTCACATTTGTAATTAAATATGACTTGTATGTGACTCCAGTGTGAACTTTAAACGGCCCAAAAGTGTCCCACATGTGCACTGGAGACACGACGACGTCAACCGCAGTGAGCGTGCTCTGTGTTTACGGAAGTTGTCCAAACATGGACGCAGCATTGAGCACCTGGAGATTTTAAAGTTCCTCTCGTACCGGAGCCAGAACATGAACAACTTATTTGTTGTAAAGAGGAGATTGAGAAGGAGAAGGACGAGGTTTTTGGTCGTGGTGTTTTGTGGGGCAGTGGCAGCGACGTCTGTTGAAAGGAACGTGTGGATGTGGAGACGTATCCAAGAGTGGTGAGTGGTGATGTGCTTCACTTCAGTGACACAGAGTTCATTAACAATTTTCTCCTACTTCAGTGCAGAATAGTGACGTTTGTGTCTTGTTGATAACGTGTAGGTGGATGAATGCACTTTGGCCGTTCACACTGAAGTCACATGTCAAAAGATCAGATATGTATCAGTTTTAGGAGCACATATCCAAGTGTCCTGGGTCACATTTGAAATAATTGATCTGTGTGGTTCAGACTGTCATTAAAAGATCAGATACAGGTCACATAGAGGCCAAAAAATCGGATTTGGGTCACTTCAGGCTGCAGTCTGAACACAGCCTTAGTTTAGCTAGCTTCTTGCACAATCGCTATGGATACGAGAAAAACAGTTCATGTCACACAATCCAACACTATATTATAATATGTCTTAAAGCTCAATGCCATACTGTGCAACATTCCAGATTAAGCAGTAAGATCTGTATTGAGACAGATGAGCCTGTAGCCGCTGTACCTGTTCTCCGGGGAGTGAGTGCAGGATGCTGAGGTTCCCGGTGTTTTTCAAGGTGAAGATGAGGACTTTCCCCGTGTGGTTAAACCGAGGAGCTCCAGCCACATACACCTGAGAGGCGTGAGCGGAGGAGAGAGAGCCCAAAGAGTAACCTGCAGACGAGTAAAGAGAGTCATGCTAGAACAGGGGCTTCTTAAAACTCCGACAAGTTCTAATGTTTCCTCATCACAAACACACCTGCTGTTGTGTTTTGTTTCATTCTCACATGTTTAACATACAAACCTGCACATTTAGGCTGAGTTCTTCTCTCAAAAATAAAACACTCCACCCTGTGATGTGGTAATACAGGAAGTGCTCCACTGTGTTTTTGAAGCTCCATACACCTTCACTAGAATCATTTGGATGATTTCAGCCCTCGTATTGACACTCTCTTCTAAACTAAAGATAAACAGTCACCTAAAAAACTATTGTTTCATGACAGAGCATTTTGAGTTTTGGAGATGTAGACAGACTAATAATAAAGATTTACTTAAACGTGTGAATGAAACAAAACACAACTCCTAGTGTGTTTACGAGGAGGGAACAACATTATAACATCATTTAAAGGTCACAAGAATCAATTCAGTATAATATGAGACTGTATGTGGGTGACTTTGTGCTGTTCTTTCTTTTTATTGAAGCAGATACAGAACAGAACATGTTTGCTATTTTCAGACACAGGAGGTTCTTACCCAGATAGGCTCCATGGTTCTTGAGTTCTTCTGGAAACTCATCCTGATAGGAGGACTTTGGAGGCACCACTTTGCCCTGTTTGGTTTCCTTTAAAACAGCTCCGGTCCAGTCGTACGCCCCCACTGCTCCCAGAAGAACGCCATCCTGTGGACACGAGGGAGAGTGTCGTATGTCAAGTACATTTTACTGTCTGTATGTTGTTGTTTTTTTGTTCATGAGTTATGGCAGTTATTTCAGTGTTCAGATCATACACTGTATATATAACATGCTAACCACAACATTCCAAACAGGGAAATGAGCATGGGGACACTTCCAGTTCCATCCACTGGTTCCAATTCACTTTCTATTGAAAAAACGTCTTCCCTCTCTCTGTAACTACTGCAGAGAACTTGCTCTTCAAATGTTCATATCAACCAACTCTACACGACATGGATCCAGACGCAGATGTATGTGTGTTTGGAACTAAACTGAAACAGAAACCAATTCAAATCACACATCAAGAGCAGCTCTAGAGACGACCGCTCTGTGCTGTTTAAGAAAAGTGTTTTTGGATAAACTCTTCTGCTGTGTGTGTACAGTGAGTGTGTTGTATGTATAGTGTGTGTATAGTGAGTGTGTTGTGTGTACAGTGAGTGTGTTGTGTGTACAGTGAGTGTGTTGTGTGTACAGTGAGTGTGTTGTGTGTACAGTGAGTGTGTTGTGTGTACAGTGAGTGTGTTGTGTGTATAGTGAGTGTGTTGTGTGTACAGTGAGTGTGTTGTGTGTATAGTGAGTGTGTTGTGTGTAGTGAGTGTGTGTGTGTACAGTGTGTGTGTGTACAGTGAGTGTGTTGTGTGTACAGTGAGTGTGTTGTGTGTATAGTGAGTGTGTGTGTGTGTACAGTGAGTGTGTTGTGTGTACAGTGAGTGTGTTGTGTGTACAGTGAGTGTGTTGTGTGTACAGTGAGTGTGTTGTGTTGTGTGTATAGTGAGTGTGTTGTGTGTACAGTGAGTGTGTTGTGTGTGTGTGTGTGTGTGTACAGTGAGTGTGTGTTGTGTGTATAGTGAGTGTGTTTGTGTATAGTGAGTGTGTTGTGTGTTGTGTGTACAGTGTGTGTGTGAGTGTGTTTTGTGTGTACAGTGAGTGTGTTGTGTGTATAGTGTGTGTGTTGTGTGTACAGTGAGTGTGTGTGTGTACAGTGAGTGTGTTGTGTGTAGTGAGTGTGTTGTGTGTATAGTGAGTGTGTGTGTTGTGTGTACAGTGAGTGTGTTGTATGTATAGTGTGTGTATAGTGAGTGTGTGTACAGTGAGTGTGTTGTGTACAGTGAGTGTGTTGTGTGTATAGTGAGTTGTGTGTATACAGTGAGTGTGTGTGTGTGTATAGTGAGTGTGTTGTGTGTACAGTGAGTGTGTTTGTGTGTACAGTGAGTGTGTTGTGTGTACAGTGAGTGTGTGTTGTGTGTACAGTGAGTGTGTTGTGTGTACAGTGAGTGTGTTGTGTGTGTACAGTGAGTGTGTTGTGTGTACAGTGAGTGTGTTGTGTGTATAGTGAGTGTGTTGTGTGTACAGTGAGTGTGTTGTGTGTACAGTGAGTGTGTTGTGTGTACAGTGAGTGTGTTGTGTGTATAGTGAGTGTGTTGTGTGTGTATAGTGAGTGTGTGTGTGTGTACAGTGAGTGTGTTGTGTGTATAGTGTGTGTGAGTGTGTTGTGTGTACAGTGAGTGTGTTGTGTGTACAGTGAGTGTGTGTTGTGTATAGTGAGTGTGTGTGTGTATAGTGAGTGTGTTGTGTGTGTAGTGTGTGTACAGTGTGTGTGTGTGTGTGTACAGTGAGTGTGTTGTATGTACAGTGAGTGTGTTGTATGTATAGTGAGTGTGTGTGTGTACAGTGAGTGTGTTGTATGTATAGTGAGTGTGTTTGTGTGTTGTAGTGTAGTGAGTGTGTTGTGTGTGTACAGTGAGTGTGTTGTGTGTATAGTGAGTGTGTTGTGTGTACAGTGAGTGTGTGTTGTGTGTACAGTGAGTGTGTTTGTGTGTACAGTGAGTGTGTTGTGTGTACAGTGAGTGTGTTGTGTGTACAGTGAGTGTGTTGTGTGTACAGTGTGTTGTGTGTACAGTGAGTGTGTTGTGTGTGCAGTGTGTTGTGTGTATAGTGAGTGTGTTGTGTGTGTGTGTACAGTGAGTGTGTGTGTACAGTGAGTGTGTGTGTGACAGTGAGTGTGTTGTGTGTATAGTGAGTGTGTTGTGTGTGTATAGTGAGTGTGTTGTGTGTATAGTGAGTGTGTTGTGTGTATAGTGAGTGTGCTGGTGTTATGTACTTTTGTGTGGTTGTTTACATATTTACATTTTAAATGATCATTAACATTCTGTCCCTTTACAAATAAAGAAAGAAATCTTGAAGTTTTTATTTCACTTTTTTTCATAAATCAAAATATAAACATTAATAACAAACCGATCTGGCGCCTTCGTTCCCTGAGATTGCCTCAGCTAGCAACAGTTTTGATGCTATATTTTATTGCTAAGAAGCTTGCGGTCGAAATTTCAAATATGGAACTGTAAATTCAGCCCATTACTGCAACGTTCAGTGAGCTTCATTTGACTGAAGCCGAGTGCTATGAGTGATATCACACTCTCTTAATCTACTTCTGTGTACAGACTCTGGTTCAAATTATGTCAAATTGTCAGTTTTATGAAAACCAGGGCCAGTGAAAGTTTCTTCTGCAAACAAAACATGCTTTGATATTAGTGTCTTTTGGGGCTAAACAGTTATGCAGTTGGACTTGTGATGTTTATTGTTTATTTTATTTTTCATTCATTCTTTCTGAAATTCTCTAGGGCATGTCACTGCTCTGTATGTACACATATTTGTTAAATACACAACATTTGCATCACTCGGATCAAACCCTTCTGGTGTAGTCTCAGTTTCTCTAAAATGACAATCGTAAACTTAATTAACCCAATGCACTTCTGCTCCTATAAACATCTCATCCAGAAGAGGAAGAGGGAGGGGGTGGAGCGTCGATGGTAACAATTTCAGATCAGAATAAATCACTGTCAAATGTCTGAATCCAGCCCCTCTGCACTGTCTGAGCTATGTATGTGAGAGCATTTGGAAAACACGTGTGGAGCAGGAATAAGGAGTAAATCTGTTCAGAGAAGGATCAGTTTGAGTAACAGTCATAGAGGGACAGTGACGACGTGCACTCACACACACGGACACATCTGAATGCAGAAGTCGTTGGTAGAACTGTAACTAATGAGTGTTTTTGAACTCAAATTGTCATTTCTTTTTGATCATTTGAATAGTTTAATTATTATTTATATTGTACAATTACATTATAAAGATCCATTTTGAACCAAACAAAGGTTAAAATATGATGACTGAAGGATTGATGACTGAGAACATTTACAAAGAAAGTGTGTTATAAATAATGCCATTGTATTCATGTTAAAATCTCTCCGGTCTGGTTACGTCTGTGTTAGAGTTTTATGGGACTGATGATGTCACACAACTTCACAACTGATTTCAAGCTTTGTTTTTGTTCCATATTTATCAAACCACAGACAATGAGGCTACAATTCAAAGCATATGTTTAACCACAAACTGTCTCAGATATGTTTATAAAGTAGTAATAATGTATATAAAGTAGTAATAACCTATGACATTGATTACCAGTGTGTATTTCCAACTCTCTAAAGTCTTACTTTAGCTTCATAGTCTAGTTCATGATTATGAGATTTGTGGCCATAGTGGTTTGTCAAAGCCTGATCTCGTCAGATCTCAGGAGTTCAGCAGAGCCGGGTCTTGGTAATACTTGGACAGACCACTGGGAAAATCAGGTGCCACAGGGGGGCGCCACTGACAAAAGGCTGTTGTGTCCTTAGGCAAGACACTTCACCCACATTGTCTAGTGAGA